TAAGTTATTCCTTTTGATGGTATCCCACATGGACCTTTGGCTTTCTTCATTTTGTCTTGATTTATTTTTTTCTGATTGATCCCTTTTCAAAGAAGTATTCAGGTATTTGTTTTGAATCTCATTAATTCTGTCTTCTATTGCATCAATTCTTCTCCTTTGCCCTTCCAATGTGTTATCTATTTCTGACAATTTAGCATTAATCTTCTGGATATTTATCTGTAGATTTAGAATCATTTCTAACTTTTCATTTATTTTGTCATTTTGTTTTTGTATTTTCTTCCAAAATTCTTCTAAGGTTTTTCTGTGTTTTCTTTTGTCTTTCTCTCAATCTTTCAAAGATGCCTAAAGATAATTCTTTTGAATTACATATCAGAGAGTTCCAATGCTGCTTATTCCTCAGGGATATGTTCTGGGTCTGTATCCTGTTCCCTTGTTTCTACCACTTTATTCTGCTTGTTTTTGTGGACTGTGATGGTCTATTGTCTCTGAGGTATCATGGCATTGTTGTACTTAGATCTCTGTTAACTGTTTGTGAAGAGCAGCCAAGGGTGAGTCAGGCTCTTCTTGGTGGTATTTTATAATTGGCCCATTGGTTGATAAGGAGGAAGTGGCTCTCACTCAGTAAGTGAAGTTGCAGGAGGTGTGGGTGTAGTTGTGTCTTATGGGAACTGTTGTTGTCTCCCACTCAGTCAGACAAAAATTACAATTGAATAACCATCAAAAAACTAAAAGCACATGGACAAAAAACATACCATGTAATCACACGGGAAGAGTAACCAAAAAAAGAAAAAAAGGGAAAAAGAAGAAGAGAATACAAGCAAACCTGCAATATCTGGGGACAGGGCACTAAGAGAAAAAAGGTAGAGAAGGAGAATAATGAAGGAAAAAAAAATGGGAAAAATACAAAAAGAAAAACAATGAACAGGGTTAACCATGAGAAAAAAGGGGGAAAAAAAGAAAAAATTAAATTAAAAAAAAATTTCAATCAGGAACAAGGAAAAGAAAAAATGCTGAAAACTAGGACCTGGGAGGGGAAGAATAAGAATAATAGTAAAAAGGACAAAAGCATTAATAATAATAGTTGGTTTAAACAGACAAATACAAGCCAACTAATCACCAGAAAAAAGAAAGTGAAAAATAAAAAAATAAAAATAAAAAAAGAGAAGAAAAATCGGTGGGGGACAGGGCAGGACACCCAGGCTCCGTCTGAGCACAGACTGTGATGGAGTTCCTGTGGGCCCAGAAGGTAGGTAGGCATGGGGGATGGCAACACCTCCATTCACCAAGCGGGTGTGGGGTTTAAGAGTAACAAGAGGAATGTCGCACCTTTTCAGTCCTGCATGTCCGGAGTGTCCTTGGGTTTTTTGGCAAGCAGAACGTGTTCTTAAGCCCCAGGAATCTGCGAGACCGCTATCTCTTTAAATATCCAAAATAGTCAAGCTGCTTTTATACATTCAAAATGGCGGTGCCCTCTGGACCGGCAAAAGTCCCAAGCCACTAGAGCAGTCCTCTATGCAGTCCCTGGCTAGCAGGGCTGATTTTTAGGTTAATTCTTAGGTCCTACCACCACTCGGGAATCTCCAAGCTGTCTATGCTGTTCCGTCATTATCGCTCAGGATTGCTGGCAGACCACAGCACTGTCAATCTCCTTTTTTTGGTATTTTCATGCAAATTCTTCTGCTAGTTGGGGTTTAGTCCACTTCTATATCCTCCTCTTCAAGGCTCAGGGGTCCAGGATTATCTTCTGTGTCTGTGTTAATTGTTTTCCCTTTTCCTTTTGAAGAAGGTCCATGGAGTCTTTCAGCCTAGTCCACCATCTTACTGGAACTCTCTTGCAGAAGATTTTCCCAGTGCAGTATTATGTCTGATTTCTTGACTTCTGCTTCCATGAGTGTTGATTGTGGATCCAAGTAAAATTAAATGTTTGACAACTTCAAAATTTTCTACATTTATCATGTTGTTGCTTATTAATCCAGTCATGAGGATTTTTGTTTTCCTTATATTGAGGTATAATTCATACTAAAGACTGTAGTCATTGCTCTTCATCAGTAAGTGATTCAAGTCCTCTTCACTTCAGCAAGGAAGGTTCTGTCATTTGCATATTACATGATGTTAATGAGTCTTCTTCCAATCCTGATACCATGTTCTTCCTCATATCATTCAGCTTCTCAGATAATTTGCTCAGCATACAGACTGAATAAGTATAGTGAAAATATATAACCCCGACACACACCCTTTCTGATTTTAAACCATTCAGTAATCCTTTGTTCTGTTAGAAAATCAGTCTCTTGGTCTATGTACAACTTCCTTATGAGCACAATTAAGTGTTCTGGAATTCTCATTCTTCACTATGTCAACCATAATTTGTTATGATCCAGACAGTCAAATTCCTTTGCATAGTAAATAAAACACAGGTAAACATCTTTCTGGTATTCTTTGCTTTCAGCTAAGATCCATCTGATATTAGCATTCATATCCCTTGTTCCACATCCTCTTCTGAATTCAGATTGAATATCTGGAAGTTCCCTGTCAATATACCACAGCAACCATTTTTTAATTATTTTCAGCCAAAGTTTACTTGAGTGTAATATTAATGATATTTTTAGATAATTTCCACATTTTTTTGGATCATCTTGTTTTGGAATGGGCACAAACATGGATCACTTCTATCTGTCTTTCAATGCTCTTGGCATAGACAAATAAGCACCTCCAGAGCTGTATCTATTTGCTGAAACATCTCAGTGTTTATTCCATCAATTCCTGGAACCTTGTTTTTTGAGAATTCTTTCAGTGCAGTTGTGCAGAGAATTCTTTCCATACAGCAGTTCATACACATTTTGTCTCATGACATTGACTGTAATTCCCTACAATGTAACAGTTCTCTTCCCATTTCCTCCCTGTAGTTACCTCTTCCCTGTGTCCTTTCCTCGTATGCTGTGCAAACACTGCCATTCTGTTCACCCATGATAAATTACTCCAAGGAGGGTATCTACCTGATGTAAATATTCAACCCATATGTTTGTCTATTGTTTGGCTGGAAACCATAGGAGTGAGTTCAATTCCAGACCTGAAGAGTGGCTAGGGGCCATAGTCCCAGGGATCTCACCAGGCTCTATCAGACTGTTGTTGTTGTTGTTGTTTGCCGTCGAGTCGGCCCCAACTCATAGCGACCCCTCCTTGGGTTTCCAAGGCAGTATCACTACGGAAGTAGGATTGCCCAACCTTCCTTCCGAGGAGTGGCTGGTGGGTTTGAACCGCCAGCCGTCTGGTTAGCAGGCAAGTGTCTTAGCCACTGTGCTACCAGAGCTCCTTCTATCAGACTAGCAAACCTGTTTTTTTTTGTTTGTTTGTTTGTTTATGATTTTGAGTTTTATTCCACATTGTCCTCCTACTCTATTCAGGACCTCCTGCATCGATTCCCACTCCCAGTGGTTGACAGTGGCAGCCAGGCAACTTTTTGCTTTCTTAAGGAGCTCTGGTGGCACAGTGGATAAGACATTTGCCTGCCAACCAGAAGGTCAACAGTTTATACCCAGCAACTGTTCCATGGAAAGGAGAGGCAGAAAATTACTTCTGTAAAGACTTACAGCCTCAGAATGAGGGGGGTCACAATGAGTTGGAATTGACTCAGTGGCAGTGAGTTTTTGGTTTTGCTTTCTTCATGTATGGTATCCTTGTCATCCCACAACTCCTCTAGTCTTTGGTTATTGGTATTCAATACATCAAATCTATTCTTCAGATGATCTCTAAATTAAGATGGGATGTACTCAATGTCATATTTTGGTGCCCCTGGACTGGAAGCATAGTGTCTAAGGCATTTGATTGCTAACCAGAAGGCTGGTGGTTCACACCCTCCAGCCATTCCTCGGAAGGAAGGTTGGGCAATCTACTTCTGTAGTGATACCACATCAGAAACCCAAGGAGGGGTCACTGAGTGGGACCCAACTCAACAGCAGTGAGCTTGGTTTTTTGGTTTGGACTTGTTTTAATTTTCTTCAGTTTCAAATTAAACTTGTATATGAGCAATTAATGGTCTGTTCCTCAATCAGCCCCTGGCCTTGTTTAGACTGATGATATTGAGCTTCTCCAAAATCTCTTTCCACAGGTGTAGTCGATTTGGTTCCTGTGTATTCCATTTGGCAAGGTCCATGTGTATAGTCACCATTTATATTGTTGAAAAATCTATTTGCAATGAATGAGTCATTGGTCTAGAAAAATTTTATCATGAGATCTCTGGCATCATTTATTTCACAACTACTTAATGTATTTAGGGAGCTTTGGTGGCATAGTGCCTGAGGCATGTGACTGCTAACCAGAAGGCTAATGGTTCAAACCCACCAGCCACTCCACAGAAGGAAGATTTGGCAATCTACTTCCATAGTGAAACTGCCTCGTAAACCCAAGGAGGGGTCACTATGAGTTGGATCCAACTCAACAGCAGTAAGTAGTAGTAGTAGTAATTACTTAAATATAATTTCATTGGGTTGTTGATCATTTGTCTTTTACTTCAGCTTTAGTGGGTCACCTGTCTCTTTAGAGGTATCCTGAACATTCTAAAGTATGAATTTCATTTTTCCTTATACAAGAAGCACAAAAGAGGAAAAGTGGTGGGCATCCTCTACCCTACAAAAAACTGAGACAAGTCAAACTCTCAGTAACAAGTATTTTCTGGCTCAAATGCCCACATTCTGTGTCTATAAGGGGATCCAAAATGTTTTAGAGAGGACATGGGAAATAAACAGCAACCAAAGATTAACTAATTCTCAAGAGTTTATTATTAAGATGTTACTTCAACTTAAATATGGTGTAAAATTGATAGAACATTTAAAAAAATAAAAAGAATTAAGCAAATATATTTCTTTAAGCTGAGTTTACAATGTAATGCTGCAGAATACCTTATTGTAGGTGTCACTTCCTAACTTCAGGTTTGTGACTCTTGACAACTGGCTTATGCAACTGTCCAAACAAAGGGCACAAAAAGGAACATCAAAGTACCCATCAGAGAGATACTTGGGGCTCTGTCTGCTCTGTGACCACCAACTTCATATATTTTTTGCACTTCTGTTAGTATTTTTTTCGATGGCAGTGAAGGATGATGGGAATTAGTGACCTAACTGTTTCTAGGATTGAGGACTAGAAATCCTTTTTATGTTACTCAAAATCATTGCACTGACAGACCTTCCATCAGGTGATCAACATCAACATCAATAGACCTAAATCATATTGGTAGCTATTGTTGTTGTTGCTTTGTGCTGTCAAGTTGGTTCCAATTCATAGTGATCTCATGAACAACATAAGGAAATACTGCCTAGTCCTGTACCATTTTCACATTCTGACATCCATTTTGGATGTCTTCCTTTTCTGACTTTTTAATGACCTTTGGCTTTCTTCACATATGATGTTCTTAATGTCATCTCATAACTCATCTGGTCTTTGGTCAGTGGTGTTTGATGCATCAAATCTATTCTTCAGATTGACTCTAAATTGAGGTAGGATATACTCAATGTTATATTTTGGCTCCCGTAGACTTGCTTTAATCTTCTTCATCTTCAAGTTGAACTTGCATATGAACAATTGATGGTCTGTTCCACAATCAGCTCCTGGCCTTGTTTTGACTGATGATCTTGACTTTCTCTATCACCTCTTTCCACAGATGTTGTCAATTTGATTTCTGTGTATTCCATCTGGTAAGGTCCACATGTATAGTCACCATTTATGTCGTTCACAAAAAATAATTGCAAGGAACAAGTCATTGGTCTTGCAAAATTGTATCATGCTACCTTTAGCATCATTTCTATCATCATAGCCACATTTTCCATGTATCATGGAAAAATTCCATGGATTTTTTAAGCTGTTTCTTCCCATTATTAGTTGTGCCCCAGCAACAAATGAATGGCTCCAAAGCTTCACTTCATCCACATAATAAAAGGTTGTCTCTACTTTGAGGAGGCAGCTCTTCCCCAGTTGTATTTTGAGTGCCTTCCAACCTGAGGGGTTCATCTTTCAGCACTATATCATACAATATTTCACAGCTCTTCATAAAATTTTCCAGTAATATAGCAGACAGTGTTTCACTGTTATTCATAGTTTCCAGTGGTCAATTTTTTCAGAAGTGGATGACCCCATCCTTCTTCCCAGTCTGTCTTAGTCTGGAAGCTCCAATGAAACCTGTCCACTATGGGTGATCCTGCAAGTAATTAAAATACCAGTGGCATAGCCTCCAGCCTCATAGCAACATGCAAGCCACCACAGTATGACAAACTGATAGATGAGTGAGTGCTGGAGATCATGTGATAGAGACTGTTTATATATAACTACTGAAAATATACGCACACACATATATATACAAACTATTGCAGAAGGCAGTAGAAATAAAAATTAATAAGTGTCTGAAATAAACAAACCAAGTTTTGAGCTGTACCTGCAGAGAACTACAGCATTGAGCCTCCCACAGAGGGAAGTATATGAAACTCTGGAGGAATCAACAAGAAGAGGGGAAAGAATGAGTTATTTAGTTGTACTGTACTGCAGTTGACATATTAACAAATAATAAAGAGCAAGGAAGAAAAATAACAGAGATATACAGAGATGTGAATTATTCAGATATTATGATGCTCAAGACTTTTGCAGGGACCTAGATATATTTGGTGAAAAAGGAAATTTATATTTTTATCTTCCATTATGCACTTTTTATAGGGCTAAATGTACTACCTCATAAACCCAAGGAGGGGTCGCTATGAGTCGGGGCCAACTCGACGGCATATAACAACAACAACAAATGTATTTTTAATTCATGTCCATAAAATTTATGATACACTCTTCATTGTTCTCATAACATTTTGATGAATACTTTAAAATATTTAAAGGTCCAGGAAATAAAACAAAAATTTCAATGAATGGGGGAAAAAAAAGTTTTTCTTATTTCAGGGAGAGTCATTCCCTGAATCATTCCCCAGATTGTCCTCCAAAGAACACAGTTTATCTATGCCCAGTGCACCACCAACCCCCACCCAGTTCATCATATATCTCAATTTAAATACTCGATTAAGAAGTTCACTCAATTGGAAGGGAGTGTCATGATCAAGGCTGTACTTCAGAAGAATTTATCTGGCAGAGATTCACAAGATGCACTGTAGGGAAAGGAGACCAGTGTAAGAAAACACAACAATTCAGGGGACCATAGATGAGGGCCTAGGAAAGTGACTTGGCTGGGAAACAAAGGAAGGCTGACTTCCAGATACAATTCAGAGAGTATAGAAAAGATCTATGATTGAATGGATTGCATACCATAAAGCATTGACTAAAAGAATAAAGATGATTCCAATATTTCAATCTAGGGGTAAAAAAATAATGGCAAAATACACAGCAGAAATTGGGAAGAGGAGCTGATTTGCAGAAGGAAGCTGATGAACAGATTATTTGATTTTTTTCATTTATTCAACTAAAGTGCCCAGCACTGCTCTAGAGCTTGGGATACATTAGTGAACAACACTTATCCCTCAGCTTATGGACCTCCCTTTCTAGTGAGTGATGATATAAAATAACAAACATTTTAAAAGTATGTTATATAGTATTTTAACATGATAAATGCAACAGAATATAAGAGCAGAGTAGGGAGAGGAATTAGCAGTGTGGAAGGCAGAAGCTGCTGCAATTTTAGGCAGGAAGATCTAGGTTGCCTTATTGAAAAGTATCACTGATCAGAGGCTTAAAAGATGAGTGGGTTGGCCATTCAGGTTTCTGGCAGAAGAGCAGTCTAGGCACAGGAAAGAGCCATTGCAAAGGTCACCTAGTGGAAGAGTGCCTGGCCTTGCTGAAGAACACAGACAGGCCAGCAATGAAAGCAGGAGATGAGACAAGAAAGGGAACTAGTGGCTTGATCACACACACCTTGTGGGCATTGAGAGAGCACTGGTATTCATTCTGCATGAAATGTGGAGCTATTGTAGGTTTGTAAACAAGAGAATAGTGACATTCCAAGTCTCACTCTGTGTTTTAAGAACAGTCTACAGAGAGAATGGGCAGAAGCAGTGAAGATGCTATTGTAGTAACCCAGATGAGAGATGATAGCAGCTCAGGCCAGAGGGGTACCATCAAAGGTGGAGAGATGGATGGATACATTTGGAAGGAGCAGAGAACAGTAAATTTCCTATAAGAATGAATGTGGAAATATGAAAGGAAAGAAGAATCTAGTGTGACTCCAAGTGTTTCAGCCTGAGAAACTGGAAGGATGTTCATTACCAGGTGAGATGGAGAAGGCTGCTGGTGGAGCAGGTTCTAGAGGTGGTTGTTGTTGTTGTTTGCCATCGAGTTGGACCCAACTCACAGTGCCCCCTCCTTGGGATTCTGAGTCAGTATCACTAAGGAAGTAGATTGCCCAACCTGCCTTCTGAGGAGTGGCTGGTGGGTTTGAACCACCAGCCTTCTGGTTAGCAGTCAAATGCCTTAGGCACTAAGCTACCAGAGCTCCCCTAGAGGTGGTAGAGACTATGATACTGAGATGTCAATTTGCTAGTTAGATATGTTGCTGTTGTTGTTGCTATGTGCCGTCGAGTCGGAACCGATTCATAGTGACCCCTCCTTGGGTTTCGGAGACAGTATCACTATGGAAGTAGATTGCCCCAACTTCCTTCCGAGGAGTGGCTAGTAGGTTTGAACCACCAGCCTTCTGGTTACCAGTCAAGTGCCTCAGGCACTACGCTACCAGAGCTCCTAGATAAAACCAAACTCATTGCTGTTGAGTCGATTTGACTCATAGTGACCCCTCCTTGGGTTTCGGAGGCAGTAACACTATGGAAGTGGATTGCCTAACCTTCCTTCCAAGGAGTGGCTGGTGGGTTTGAACTGCCAGCCTTCTGGTTAGCAGTCAAGTGCCTTAGGCACTATGCTACCAAAGCTCCTAGTTAGATATATAACTATAGATTTCAGGAGAAAGTCTAGGTTGGAGATATAAATCTGAGAGTCACTGGCATATAGATGGTATTTAAAGAAATAAGACTGAATTAAATCACCAAAGAAGAGAGGGAATGTAAAGAAAGAAAGATCAAGAGCTGTGCATTCCATGGGGAATCCAATAATAGAGGAGAAGGAGAAGGAGGAGGAGGAGGAGGAGGAGGAGGAGAAGGAGAAGAAGAAATCAACTCTGGCAAATGCTATAAACTGGTTTATAGGTGGGATGGAAAATTGATCAATTCATCGTGGCATTTAACAATGTGAGGGTCATTGGTGACCTTGATAAGCACAATTTCAATGAGTTGTTTGGGTAGAATGGATTTAAGAGAGAATGGGAGGAGGAGAACTTATAATGAGCACAAGCAACTCTTAAGGAGTTTTGGTTACCAAGGGGAACAGAGAAATGGCTAGTAGCTGTGGGAAAAGTGGGACAGGAGATGAATTTTAAGAGATGGAAGAAATAAAAGCATGGTCATATAAGAAGACTGATGATGGAGATGAGCTCAGTCTGAGGTGTATGAAATGGTTGTTCCTCTATTTGTTACGTGGCAAACACCTTCTCATATTTCCTATCTTAGTCTGTATGTTACTTCTTCAGGAAAGCTTACCCCAACCATTCATTACAAAATGTGTGTCCCTCCTCCCCCAGTTTCCTCTTTCTCGGGTCTTTTTATGTATTTATTTATTTTTATGTCATTGCACCTAATACACCTTGCTATTTTAGCCTCTCTCACCCAGAAGAATGCAAGCTCCATGAGATCAGGGACCATACCTGCCTTGTTCATCACTCTGTACCCAGTGCCCAGTCAGAGACTAGTGTGAAAGAGGTGCTAGGGTAAGTATTTGTTGAATGCAAATGAATGAAATGTTGAAATGATGCATGGATGGGTAGCTTCTTATTTAAGATGTCAAACAGATAAAACTATCTATTGATGAAAATAAAACCTAGGTGCTTTCAGGAAGGGATAATGGCAGAACAAAAAATAAGAGTAAATAAGCAAAAA